CCTTTCCACATATATATATATCATGTTTGAAATAATAAAATAATTAAAAATAAATATTTAAATATCAGCAGCACATGTTTCATAAGAATATTCATAGGGAGATATAGTCATTGACGCTATACTTTTAAATGAAAAAGATTCAGGCAATGAAAATAACTATTTGGACAAAGAGTTTTTCTTTTTAATGAGAATGCTTTTAAGTTTAAAAAGCTTGTAACATTTTTTTACCTCGATCAATAAGACTACACTCTCATTCTTTAATAATAAGTTTTAATCAATATGCACTTAGTCAATTAGTGACTTTGAAATTCGCTCCTTGAATTCTTCTGCGAGCGGATAACGATTTTCAATCTGCTTTTCCCTGGACATACTTATTGTCTATTAGTCAATTTCTAAAGTGACGCGTGATATTAGGTATCCTGGTAGTAGAATATTGCTTACTCAACAAATTACTAACGTAAACACACGATACAGACGAAAATTAGGAAGAAAAAATAGAGCAGAAAATTTCAGATAAATTACAACTAAAATACTTTTTATCCAAGAGGGTAAAGGAAATAAGCTTGAACTACATAATCAAACAATGAAAGGGGAATAAAAATTAGGCAAAAAGTGAAAAATGAAGTGAATAACAAGTATAATCAGGTGACTCTCAGTTGTTGCAGCATTTTGAAGTTGAAAGAAAATATAATACCAGACATTTGAAATTAATAGGATGCTAGAAAGTTCATTAACTAAATTTTTAGACATTTGTTTTTAAAATATGAAATGATTCCAAGAAATCCTGGTCTTTGATTGAGAAGTAAATAATAGATTTAGCAGAAGAGAAACTCAAACATATAATGCTATGAAGAGTAATGGAAAATCACTCATTATCCAGATTTAAAAATGCTCTTCGAAATCTTTTCTCGTTTGTCCAATATACGCAAGATCACATTTACGAAAAATCTCGAAACTACCCTCACTACCAATTTGGCAAATATGTCATTCATGAATATTTTACAAACATTTTCTTTGAAAGCTTATCAAAAACAAAAGTAAATAGTCTATGTAAGTTTTAGAAACATTTATGAAAGACGCATGCATTTTTTTTCATTGAATAGTAAAAACCGCAGCTATTTTCTATTGAATCGAAACAGTTTTACGTTTCACTTAAAATGAAAATGCGTTCAGAAATAAAATGAATGGACGTTGATTGAAATCTTTCCAAGTTGGTAAAGCTGCGCCATTCGTAAATCATTTCTCGTACAAAACAAAGGTTAATATTCCGAAACAACATTACATTGTGACATGGTTTATGGATATTACATTTGGAGCTACAGACAATAGAACACAACACAAAGAAAAAGGATAAAAATGGAGCATTTTTCCTGTGGTGAATTTTTCTATGGAAGTGGAAAAAAAAACTAGCAGTTTTCAGAACAGCTTGTAATATTATTGAAGGAAAAGCGAGAGAAGGAAGAAAAGTTTCCATAGGAACGTTTTTCATTTTAATTTGTACGCTTCAAGATGGAAGATATACTTTCTTTTATTGCTAAATTTCTTTGAAACCTTATGTGGGAGAAGCCATTCATCAATTAAATGAATCGATGCAGTTCTGATATTTTAAAATAAAAATCTCTTTTGTTCAAGATCTATGTGTATATTTATCGCCATTAATTTTATTGATTTAAATAATAGTTATTTTAGTTCTCTAATTATTTATAATAAACTTATTGAATCTACTTAAATATCTGTTGGGAACTTTCATCGTTTTTTTTTTCACTTTTAAGTATTACTCAATATAGATGTGAAAGTATTACTCAATATAGATATATTACTTTTTTAATAATTGAAATGCTAAATTCTTTAAACATTATTTGAGAGAGATCAATATTAAATTAAATGAATTTGATATAATTCTGATATTGTGATGTAAATGTTGGTTTTGTTCTCATTAATGTTACTGATTTATGCAAATACTTCAATATATTATTATAAAAAGATTTATTGAACCTATTGATGTATATATTCATTGGGAACGTTTCACATTTTAAAAGTTATTCATTTTTCACTTTTTTACGTTTTTCATTTTCAAATTTTTATTGCTGTGTATGGTGATTTTTTTTAAACTTAATGTTTGGAACGCTATTAATCAATTAAATAAAATGATAGATTATTGATATAGCAAAATAAAAGTCTGTTCTGAGATCTAGATGTATATTTATATCCATTAATTTCAATGATTAAGAAAGATAAGATTATCTTGTTAATAATATTAATTAACTAATTATTAATGAAGAATCTTTTGAGTATATTTTTGTATACACTATTGGGAAAGTGTTTCATTTTTATTTTGCTAGAAATGCTTGTTTTTTTTTAAAAAAAAAGCTATGCTAGGAAAGTTATTAATTATTAAAATGATTATGTGCATTAAATGCTGTTTGCTGAAGTCTATTTTGTGGGATATCAAATTGTATGACATCTAAAAATTGGGCATTAATTTTAATTTTATTGATTTGAATATTTGTTTTTATATTTTCTAATTATTTATAAATAATTTATATAATAAATATAATACGATTTTTAATGTAATATGGAAAATACAGGGTGATTCTGGGTATCACTACCACACAGATAAAGTTCTAATGGAAGAAAGGCACATCATAAGGAGTAAGAATTTCAAGAGAACGCATGCCTGAAAATGTCAGCGTAAGCCGCTTGGGGCGCTAACCTATTTTTAGCTCTGGTTCTGAGTGCTCCTTTGAACAGGTACTTCTTCATGCAACTTATACTAATTTCACGATTATTTAATTTTTCCAATAATTATTGATGAAAATGAC